GCCCCTGCGTTGAAAGGGATGAAAAGGTGCCGAAACTCTTAGTTACAGAGGTTGACACACACACACACACACCTCCCGTGCAGGGAGGCAGTTAGAGTTGGCCGATGCCTGCAGAATGCGGATGGAGGCATAAAATTCCGGCATGCATTGATTCGCAAACCATGCCAAAACACCTAAGAGAGCTCGAAACTAGCGATGCTCACGTTCATCACAAGGTGGCTCTCCCGTGGCCGCGTGGCCGTCCAGTGTTTCTCAACTGGGCCCTTTGAAGGTTTTCTCAACCCTCCATGCCACTCAAAACAACAACAGAAGCCATCTTCGGGCCAGCTCTTCCTGATCGACAAACACAAGGATCCACAGGGCTTGCAACTAAGCCCAACTCCTTCAAGTATGTGTGAGCAATGGCGTTCCACTGGCAAGGTGCACGGAAGTCACCGAAAGTTGGCTTGGTTGCCTTCGGCACTGGATGTGGTAGAAACCCCATCCTGCGTTCAAGACGACGACGCGTGTCAGCAGAGAGCTGGATGTAGAATCTTGGTGTTTTCATCGTTGGAATCCGCTTGCATGAACGCACTCTTGTCAGCGGTCCAGACTTTCCACTTTCAGCATTCTTTCAGCGCGCGGCCCAAACATAGATGAGACTGCGACTGGCCACACTCAAACTCGGACTTTAAGGGTTGCAAGCACGTCTCGATGACGAAATCCCTGGATGATGACTCTGTGGCTTGCCGGCCGGTTTTGGTGGGCCTCTATTTTTGCAGGAAACTCGCCGGCACCAACTCACTGTCTCTCACTTCTTGTACGCCCACCCAGGCATCATTCCCGAACCAAACATTGAGAGCGTGATCCTTGGCCTCATCAAATTGAGGTCGTTCTTCAGTCGTGAATATCTTATCACTGAATGATATGAATGCAGCCGCAACTAGTCTTTCATTTTCTTCATTCACTTCATGTTAGGCTAGGCGATCATATTGTTGACTGAAGATGGGGTCATCGAAATGCACGGGCGCGAACCTTGAGGTATTATAGGGCTCTAGGATAGTCCAGCGAATTTCCTCTATAGACCATACAAACCTGGGGGTGATTTTAGTGCATTTTATAGAGGTTTTAGGGCAATATGAACCCTGGGTGCATGGATTCTATAGAGGCAAGGATTTTTGACGATGGCTCTTGTACTCGAAGTATGTAACCCCGGGTAGTTTGATTATATATAGAGACATTTTTTAAATACCTAGAGGTAGAAATGGCTTCATTTTATAGAGAAACCTGGATGGATGTGAGCAGCGTCAAAAATATCCAACAATCAGGTTAAGCACACTTGTAAGCTCCAACTTGCCAGCGGAAACCACAACTGCAGTCGTGGACCGGTGCGTAAGTGTATGGCAGAATTTACCATCGCTGAAGCTTTGCGGATGTGCATGGATGTGCGCATGTTATCTTCCTGAACCTTGTTGACAATAACAAATGCCTCTGTACTTTTTAAGGGGGTGTGTCTAGCCTAGGGACACTTTTGAAAAATACGTCCATGTGAGAACCCTGGGGTGTCACTAAAGAATGAGGCCACCTACTGTGTGTTATCAACGATATCGACCTAATATTTCCATTTGGGTGCGTGAATCTATAGAGGACCATATTTGCTGGTGATTTTATAGTGGTCCAAATTTTAAGCATGGGGTGTGTGATTCTATAGTCTACAGCCCGCGTTTTCTACCTTGGGTGTCCAGATTTTACAGTGCCAGAACCCTGGGGTTACCGTTGAATATATATAACATGACCACCCTTCGGTTTCAGGTGGAGCTCACAGGGGTATTTTGTTTTAGTGGCTCAGCCCTGCAAAAGCCTGTTGCGTTTCATCATGATGCGGTGGACTTCGAGACCTCGGTCGTTCTGCTTTTCCTTCAGCTGCTGCCGCTAACTGTGGTTCGGCCATGTGCTCTGCAGCGTGTTGCTGCAGCAGCCGTCCTGTTTGTGGCTGCGGCATCAAGACCGGGCTCAGACGGAGTGTAGTCCTCAACATCACCTGGGTCCAGACTGAAACGATTGTTGTGCTGCCTGTGGTGGCTCAAGTTGTGAAGGTTTTGAAAGCTCAAGTGCACAATTTTCCTCACGGGTTGCGGGGGCCAAAAAACTCGGCGGCGCATTGCCACAGAAGCGTTGGGTGTTTGACTTCATGTCGCAGGGTTGACGTTCGTGATGGAGACGTTTTTTGTGAATCTGTGAGTTGGCGGTTTTGCTTGGTGACGCCAGTCACCATGGCTAGTGTTTGCCCACCCTCGCAGGAGAACTTGTACAGGCCGGCGTGCTTTGGGAGCATGACAACTTTGGTGTGTGTTGGACGGCGCTGGCACGCTGCCTCCAGCCACCACTATCCATGGCCCAGGCTGTGGCAGAGCAAAGCCACACACATGAAAGAACGCCTCACAGAGATATGGCGTTTCCACCCGAACTGTTGAACCACTGGCCAAGCCTCGGTAGCCTCCATTGATCACAGGCCTTCACCATTGGCTCGTGAAGGGTTCGTTCTCCAAGGTGAAAGGGGAACTGGAATAGGGCGGGGGTTCGCTTGCGCGTCGCGTTTTGGATCGCTTGTGCGTTGGGTTTTCCTTGAGCAACACGCAATGTGCGGCCACTAAAGGGTAAACGACTAAACTAAACTCAAATATGCCCGAGCCTTAATGGTATCCAACCGTAAAAACTCACCAGTGCGGAAAACGGCGCGCTTAAGAACCGTACGGGTTTCCAACCGTGTTTTGACGGCGCACATCTCCCTCAGACATACCAGCCGCGCAGCCAAACTTTAATAAACTTTACCTTACTCCGGGGCCGAGTTTGCTTGCCCAATGCGACACAGCTCGTCCAGCACCTGCCACTTTTCATTGCTGCGCGCGAAGCTGGGGTTCATGCGAATTTCCTGCAGCTTGGGCACGCAACGACGCCGCACAAACCAACAGGAAAGGGAACAATGGACGAGGTTCCCCGAAACTTTCCATTTTGGAAGGCGGAATGGGATGACAGCCGCGACATCATCGGTGGTCGCATCTTGGCCGCATTGGAAGGGAGGCCGTTGTTGGGAGCTGCCGATTTGGTCTCACACAAACAGCAACAATTCGAGGCGTGTGGGGGGTTTAGGCCTTGAACCACAAACACAAAACAAGGATGACGAAAAACGCACTGCTCACTCACCGTTGACCAGAAATGTATGGCAGACCCCTGAGACATGGCCATGTGGCAAATGGTCAGGTGTGCAACATGTTTGCCGTGGTATCATGGTGCTGTTGTTGTGCTGCCAACAACGGAACTTCAGCAAACCTGCCGGAAACATCAGTGAGTGGAACTGGATGGCTCGTTGTGGGACGCTGTCAATCTCAGTTCATGAATTGTTTTTGTGTGTTTTTGGGCAATTTTTTTTTTTTGCGGCTTCAGTGGCCAATGGCCTTCGAACACCCATTTTTACATTTAAAAACACGTCTTTCCATGCCCCGAAGGATGGCAGACATATCAAAAGGTAAATATACCAAACCAAACAAAATCCAGTGCTGAGGCCGCATTGATTGTGGCTGGCTGGTCGGCAGTCACTTTGTCGGCAGTGGCTTGTGCAGAGCACCCCGAGTTCATGCCCATCCCTGAGTTGTGCCAACATTGCTGGTGGACACGTTCAACTGCAAACGATGGAATCTGTTCTACCGGACCGAGGTTGGGGATGGACGACGAGGCGTGTGACATGACGATGCAAACTGCGAACTCAAGTGTTTCCTTTTTCAGGTTTTGGCAGCGAAATCCCCACACCATTCCCAGTAGAGCTATGGCTAATCTTGCAAATGTGACCTGACGTTTGAAAGGGGAGGTACTCAGCCAATAAACCATTGGAATGTGAATCAACTGTTGGGAATCCTTGGCCCCCCTCGCCGTTATAAGTGATTTGAATGTCCCATGTTAGTCAAGGTGCCTTGGCTTCACGGAGCCTCCCGTGCGCCACTGTGGCAGGTCACGTTCCAACGAGTCCAGGAGGCCCAGGCAGTGGGTCGGAAGGGGTTCACGCACAGGTGGCCCACATTGAGCCCAACACCACAAAACACATGGCAAGGGGTCAAAACTGGGCAACCTTGGTTGAGCACGCGAAGTGAAAAGAATGGATTACGAAGAAGGCCAACTTACCCTGTTTTGGTGTCAGGACCCGTATTTCAACAATTTTCCACCCAACACGAAAGTTCAATCTTTCGCGAACGGCCCGGAAACAATCGAAAACATACCAACCAGTGCTGACCTACTGTATCACTGATTAGTTGAATTATTTTCATAAGACCAAATGAGCACAGACCTGAAGAACTGTCCTGATTAAGTGTTTGGACCGTTGGCGTCCTCGAAGTGCAGACAGTTGGCGTTGGGCTTTGCTGGTTGCTCCATGTTGCACCTGTGCCTCGGACCCAGGAGCTTCCGTTGGCGGAAGCCTTGTGGTCAGCGATGAACTTCGCAGATGCATCCGTCAGCGTGTGAACTCAGTGGTGATCTCTGACAGAATGGGACTGAAGGGCTGGTGGCTTCGGGATTTGGGGAGACTATTGTGTTTTATGCCGTAGCCTCAAGAAAACTCTGCAAACCTTCATGTGCCCAATTCAACGAATATGTTTTGTTTTTGGTTGGTGCAAGTCCATCCATGGTGTGGAAAAAACAATGCCAGCGAATGGCAGAACGCAAGAACATTGCATAAGCGGATGCCTCTTGCAACAGTGCATCCAGGCAGAACTGGCATGAAATGCACGAAATCGTTCAAATTTCAGTTGACCCCGCGTTTGACGGTTTGACCTGACCCCCTAATTAAGTGTCACTCCATTTGTGGGATGGGCCACCGTGTTTCGACCCCTCCCATCCGAAGCACCGGGCTCGCTGACAGGGCTCGAGAGGGCGACCCTCCCGTCCGACGCCACGACGGCCTGCTGTGGCGATGGTGACGGCCATGGTTTTCTCCGCGTGACAACCACGCTGGAGACGCCCGAGACGCCATGGAGGTCGTGGATGAGGCCTGCCGGTGGTGCTTTTTCGGTGAAGGGTTCTGTGGCAGTGGAAGGATTCGGATCTGGAGGTTTCTGTGGACTGTTGCTGTCGAAGGTGCTGCCCTTCTCAAGGGTCCTGGGGAAAGGTGTCATGGTGAGCAGGTCACAGGTTAGGCAGTGGGCAGAACTCTTTGGTATTCTTTAGGTTGCCTTGATAATAGAGATGAGTATGAATGTGACACTTTTACGGGAACACCCGTACGCCGCCCAAGGGTTGCTGACCAAAGAGCATCGCAGAAACCGAGAGGCGGCATTCGCATGTACTTTGACCAAGAAAAACTTTGTGATAGTCTAGTGATTGTCTTTAATTCGGCCATGAACCCATGAACCTTCAATGACGATGGAACATGCCGATCCATACGGTTGGGACATTCCTATGGATATGAATCCTTAACGATCTACCATGATCTGCCACTTAGAAATCCAAAGACGATATTTGGCACCGAAGCAGAGGAAACTCCAAAACAGCTTCCACAGCAACCTGCGGCGTCCAACCAGCGGGCTAACCTGCGGCCTCCATCGGTACTATTGGTATGGATTGAGGGGATAACCCCTCGTTCGTGTACAGTTCGAGTTCGATGGCTGTGGTTCACCCGGTTTCGGGGTTTTCCTTAGGTCGGATTGGGCTAAGGAGTCTAATACCTTAGTATTATGTTTATTCCTTCGTGTTATTTTATTCAATTTTATTCCCTATTCCAAATCCATCGGCCCCTGGTTCCTTCTTCCGTTCCGACTGGTTCTGGCTCCCGTCCCTCTTCCCAGGCGCGGAGCTTCGTGCAGGCAAAGATGCAGAGCCGCGTGGCGCTGCTCCGGGCGAAGACGCGGAGGCCGGTGGATTCGCGGAAGACGCACGACATGGTTCTTGTGGAACATGTGCAAGCATTTGATATAGAGTAATATTATTGGTGGTATATGACAACATTTTACAGCAAGGAAAATATAGTTGTATATCTATTGGAGGCTTGCCATTCAACAAGTTCGGGATGTTCACCAGCTCAGGGATTGAAACCTTCAAATCTGATAGGAGGAATGCCAGACACACCAGCGATCCAAGAGAAATAGGTATGAAGGGCTGCGTGGTATTGCGTGGTGCCATAAGTATCTGAGTATTTTTTCTGCACTCAGATAATTTACGGCTGACCTCCAGCCATTGTTCTTGTTATTTGCTGTTTTTTTCTTTTTTCCACACGAGAGATGGTTCCATGTGTCGATGCCTGAACGGTGTTGGGTGAGCTATGCGCTTGCGATGCGGATACTCTCCTCCTGCAGGTTGCAGCAGATCAACGACGCGCCTGTACCGCCGGAGGTGGGCGTTTAAACACCAGAGCACTCCGACGTGATTGCTGGGCATGCCTTGGCAGCAAACAGATAGATAGATCAATGAAACATGATGAGGAGCATCTTACAATGCTGCGCCTTCTGCCATCACCTCTATGGGACTGATACTGATATGAGGGCACGCAGTATCTATTGCCAAGTGACTTCTTGTCCACGTTATTGTCCGCATGTCGGGTACTAGAAGTATATACTAGAAATTCAATCCGTACCCATTATATACACATGCAAGTACTTTCAAGTCGTGATATTTAGCCAGCATGTAACATGCCCGGTCACCTAGTTTAGTTTCTGCATGCCTGGGCACCACCATACGCAGCGGCGATCCCCGAGTTTGAGGTTACGAACAGGCCTGTAAGAGGTCACCAACAGGGAGCTCCAAAAGGTCACTTTAAACAAGATGGTTGTTGGTCCCACAAGTCGTACACTCCCTGAAACTCAGATGGTTATAACCCTGACGATCCATGACCACACATAGGTCACAAATAGAAATGATCTCAGGATATGCATACGTTTCTATTGATCGTGTTATTTGAAGACGTTGTCGAATCACAGATTGGGGTACCTGAAAGGTATATACAATTCCAGTATCATTGTCGGAGGATAAGACCATGAAATCCCAAAAACCAAGCATTTTTTGTCCCTTTAAAAATGAGGTCATTGTCGGACTCCAGCGTGACAACCCGTGACGAATTTGAATTTGGGATCGTTGGTTTTGTGGTTTTTGGGTTGAGTGGTTTTGTGGTTTTTGGGTTCTGGTATGATCTCGTTTTTTGAGGTCGGACCTCACAGGGTGAGGTCGGAGAGCCCCAGAAGACACAACCCTAAATGTTAGCATATAAAGCTAACTTTCGATCCTCAGGGTAATATGCTTTTTCATGGCATGACCAGTTCGGAAGACGATGCAATTGGAACAAACCAATCAGTTCTTGTTGTTCTCCATGGGTTTTCCACGTGACCATGGTGAGTTCCAGCTCCGTGGTCCACGGCGCCCGCGTCACCGAGTCTCGAAGGCTGAGATGGCTCCAGAAGTGTTGCTTCCTCGGCGTGAGCTGCAGCTTTGCGGCTGGGCTTAAGTAGGGTCACTGGATCGCGTTCCGGATGGAACTGACGGAAGTTGATGGCTCAAGAGCTGTGTTCTTTTTCCTTTGCGGGGTTGAAGCCAGGTTTGGCCATGAATTCCCGGCAGGTTCATTTTTTTGTGAGTTTCCATGATGGTTGAGAGGACGCTGCTGCAGGGTTGCCCCGAATAGATCACGGATCCAGGTGGAAAGAACCCACTGGGTTTTGAGAACACGGGCCACGTGGAAGAGGATATGTGGGAGAGAATGTCGGGCAATACTGTATATAAAATAATGTGATTGCAAAGTGCGAGTGGTATGAGCCTTTGCCAATGATTTACAATGTTTTGCCTCTTGCTGGCCAAGTGGGCATCCCACAACAGTTCCTGAGTTTTGGCCTTGTTCATGGTCCTTCAATTCGACTGAGGCCCTGTGAGAGAAGGAAGGGCATCAAGAAGAAGAGCTCCACGTCCAGCATCTGGGATTCGTAGCCCAGTGGTCCGGAGTCTAGGATGGCTTGGATGGTGCCTCACCCAGTCAGAGAGTCTGTTTTCATGGTGCCGACTCTTGGAATCACCAGGGGCCACTATCCCAAAGTATCAAGATTGCCGGAAGTTCTGGCTGTGGCCTATACTCAAAGTGTTGGCCTTTCACGGAGTTTTCCTTTTCACAGTGTCAATGATCTCCCAAAAAAGCTTTGGCTTTTGTCTCCGTCTCCACAAAGAAAAATGCGATTGAGTGAGGTGTTTGTAACATGGTTTTAACATGGCGTTGGCCTGAAAAAGCGCCAGATTTAGGGAACGGTACTCTCCTTGAAACAGTCATGGAAGTGGAAAAACAAAATTGTTTGGTATTCGGAAAATGGGTTTCATGGTCATCCAAACTCGGGGCCATGCCATCCACTTCCATTCAAGGAGGTTAAAACCACACTAGAAGTGAAGGAGCTTCCTCATTCAAGGATAAATCTGCCATCCTCCTTGAGCTTCCTCCAAGCTTCTGAAGGAGGATAAATCTGAAGCTCAAGCAGATTGAGGTGTTGGCCTTCTCTTTTCGCCACCCACCGCCTGCACCTGTGGTGCTGGACGCCGATGGCGCTGTCCGGCGTGGACTGAGTGCCCGGCGTGGGGACGTGGGGCATGTGGAACCATGGAGGAGGAGGCTGGTTGAGCAGACAATGGGCCAAAACATGGTTGCTTCTGATGCATACCATACTCGGAGTTTCTTCTTTAAAGCGGTTTTACATTTTTTCCATCTATCTAGTAACAGGAAACTACTAGGGGGTCCTGGGACGCTACTAGGGGCTCCTGGCATCGCTACTAGGAGCATTCGTACTACTAGCAACAAGAAGGTTCACATTTCCCGGCCCCAGTTGCGGTTTGCAGAGCTGCAACGCCTGGGCGCCATGGTTGGGGGAACTCAGCACCCCTCGGTCAGTGTAACTTGCGGGTGGCGTGGCGGGCACAGGGGTGCCTCATTGGGGGCGTTTGGGACTATTCAGATGATAGGAGATCGGAGATGGGTGTCACAGTCGCGACTTGGTCACTTGTTTGAAGCTTCAGGTCCGCAAACCAGCTGGTGCACCGACTTTGGTGATACTGTACTCATCTTCCAGACTGAAGTTGGGTTCTTCTTCCTGTAGTTGTGAACCTGTGATTTCATCCGCCAATGTGGACCCATTGTTGAGGGGCTTCAACTTGGATTTCGCCTCTCCACCATCGTGGGGCTTGGGTTAATCCTCTTGCACTGCAGGTCACCCTGACACGTCCAGCCCTTGCAAGACTAAGGCCACCGTATGTCGGATGCGAAGGGAAGGCCTATCACTTCCTCCGCCGGAACCTCAGAGTTTCACACAGAGTCTCGGGCCAGATGCTACCTGCTACCTGCACAAACTCATCACAACATATCACAACTCTATGTCTATACAGTTGGTCCCTAGCCTCCGGCGTCCATGCCGGCGATCGAACACCCAGAAAGAAACGGCATGACTGGCCCGGAGGCACGGGGCGGTCGGACCGTGAGCCGTGAGGTGCCGGTTTTTTTCTGGATGATTCTGACGAGGAGGCCCGAGATTCTGCGGAGCGAGCTGCTCGCTACCTTTTTTGCGGATGGAGCGCACCCATTGAAAAAGGTGAAGCCTGACTGTAGAGGGCTAATATCACTTCCATCTTCTTACTTGCCAGGTGCGAAGGTCAAGAGTCATGTCGGCCCTTCTGTTTGGGCTGACGCTTCTTCGCAAACCCGGCAGGCGGAGCCTGGCAGGCCCAAGTTGGTCTCGCGCGAATCGACCTGGGAGAGTATGGGCTGCTTGGACCTGGACCTGGGCTGCTCTGAGTGCCATGAAGATTGGACATTCGCACGGTTCAGTGCGACGGCCTCGCCTCGCCTCAATTGACCAGAAAAGCACATGTTGATGGAGCTTCGCTTCGATCAAGTCACCAAAAAACTCGTCCGGAGGAGAAGAAAACACCGAAACACCAGTCACGAACCATTGACCGACTGAGGCTACAGCGGTCTTCTGGGGAATGAGTCGAGGCAAGCTTCCAAGTCCGAGCGTGGCAGCATTGCAGCTCGGACGCGGGGGATCATGGTGCGGGGAGTTTGCAGGTGGGTGAGCTACGAGCATGCACCCCCAAGTGGATAGTTTAGTGGAGGTTACAAGTTGGAACCATCAGCATAGAGATTTTCTAATCATGAGGCTTTGGCAGTAGCCCAACATTCTTGGAGGACCTTCTTCGTTTGTATGCCGGAAACGTGCTTCCAGAACCGGGCTCACCTGGAAACCAATCCGAGCGTGCATTGCATCTTGCCTTCCCTGCCCAAAAAAGGTGGTAGACTCCAGTTGTGGCAGAGGAAGGGTTGTCCTGCAAGTGCCTTCTGACATTCAATGAATGTTGTTTATGGCGGGAAGGAATGTATATTGTACATAATTACCGTAGTAATTACTGCAATTTACATGATTCGGGGTAGGTCAATGGAGCTAACTATCAATGATCATGAGCAAATGCATCAAAGTTTAGCCTCTAATCAACGAGGAGGACTTGGGATGTGGTGTTTTCGGAGGGGGGGCAAGTGTTAGAAGGGACCAGCATAGATTCATTTGCAGTAGGTTTAACACCGCCGATGACTCGATTCTGATCGCCTTACTGTAATTGAAACTCCGAGTGTCCTTAATTGAACCTTCGAGTGGTCGGTTGAACCGACGCCGGTGCTGAGGAGGATCACGCGGAGGGTGTGGCCAGGTTAGCCTTTTCCTCGATGCGGAACCACCAGGAGAGCGATCCGAGTTGGGGGAGGGAAACTCTCGGGGTGACCAGATCATGTTCAAGGCCTTGCGGCAAAACATGGTGAACACCTCCCTGGACCCCCATGAATCAAACTACCAGGATAGTCCCCCGGGGGGTGGGACCCATAGCCAGATGTCGTGATGTTCTGTTTTCTCATGGCATTGAGCAATTCCACTCAGCCTTTTAGATTTGCCAGCAACTTGAGAGGATGCCTGATGGGCTTTCCTGGGGTCCTCCCATCAACTAAGGGAGAATCCAGGAAGGCGACGACACACAGGTCATGGTCACTTGAGCATCCTTGCTCCTAGTAACTAGTAGCACGGCCAGGAGCCCCTAGTATCCTGGTCCTAGTAGCGTCCTTGCTCCCAGTAGTACCCTTTGAAACTTTGTCTTAGTATTTGTATGATGATGGGAGGCCAACTTCGTGGCATGTCGGCACGCTCTCTCTGCAACACGGGTGCAGGAGGAGGAGAGCAGCTTTGGATCAAAGGACTCAACGTGGCAGGGGTGCACTGGGCAAGGGGTCCAAGGAGGAAATTCACTTCTCCAATGTATCCCTACCCAGTCACTGGAATAACCTTTGTAACTAGAGCACGGCCGGGGTTTCTGCCATCTACTTACCGTAATCTACTTCCATGATGGTTTCAGGGAGTGCAAGACTCCCTTTAATGACCGCTCCCTACACAATTGTCGTCTCACGGTCTTACATGGCCATGGCGGCTGTGAAAGAGGTGCCATCTTAATCCATTTTAGAGGTGGAGTCTGTTCGCTTGAGCGAGCGGCACCAGTCTGCACAGGAGGGCCAGTGCAAAAGGATGCCGAACGCTGGCACCCGCCCATTCCAGGACCCGCCCTTGTGCCACCTGGAGGAGGAACCGCATGTCGCTGCTTGGCTGCATTTGGCAGTGCACCAGCTGCTTGGGGCGTTGGGACTTGGAAAAGCTTGGCATGATTTGAATATGCCTCAAGGGCCCCCAGGGAGAGTCATACTCGGGCGTTGTACATGCCGCGGGTGGCCATGTACAGGCCATGCAAAGGCGCACCAATGGTGGTAAACATGTTCAACTACTCTGTACTAGACCCCCTGTACCCTTTGACGCCGCGGCACCAGTGGAATCTTCGCTCAGGCCCGTCGTATCTCCTCGGATGAGCATACCAAGTGGAGGCCAGAAAGCTTTGATCTGAACGCGTTCGGCGTTCGGCGTTCGGGTTCAGAAACCGGCAAGTCTGGGTCGAGTCCCGCGACCAAGGGGTGCTGTTACAAGCGCCATAAAGCACCGCTGAGGTGCACTGAGTAGCTTCGGGCCACTGAGTAGCTTCGGATCCATGTCCGGTCTTGGAACCCCTGGCGCCCCACGCAAATTGGAGTTGGTTGAGTGGGTCGTTCGCCGTTCGTCGCCCTCTTCGTTCAAAGCAGACTGGGATGTTTGCGGCCAGAGGTCGAGCTTCAACCGATTTCGACATGATGGAGAGATGCTCGGACTCACCGAACACACGAGCCGGGCCGCCCGATACGTGGCCACCGGATGTCGGTCTACTCCGTTGGACTTCTCCACCGTGAGGACGGACCTGGGACGGGCTGGATGACCGACCTCCAAATGGGCTGGAGGGCCGTTGAGCTATGGTCGTTTTTTTTGGAAACACCCGGGGTTAGTGGGTTTCCTGGTTTCCTTCGGTCTCATTGGGAGCCAGGCACTGCAGGCTCACCATGACTCTTAGACTTTAGCAACGATCTGCGCAATTATATATTATATAACATAGTGATTTAGATTGATTTGGTCTGATTTCATGGGGGACCAGGGGCCGCTTCTGGGTTTGCTTTGGGCTCAATATAATCTCCCAGAATTACCGCGTGGTTAATTCTGGGTGCTGGAGGAACACCGGCGTCTGTCAGGCGTCCATTTTCGTCCATGGGATCCTCTTCAGGGTTAGGCCGTTGAAGGAGCTTCCCACCTTTCCAATGCCTGACGTCGAGCATCGCGCGATGGAACGCGAGTCTCCGATGCGTGTCAACGCCAGGATGGTATTGACGTGTTCGTTTCTAAGGTGTGACTCACGCATCTGGCAGAAACAGTAGAAACATGTAGAAACTAGATCTCTATAGGCTCCAGATCTTCTTCTATCTTCATACTGTTGGGTGGCTACTGGATTTCCAATCGACCCGAACCACACGACCCGATACTGTTGGTTGGTCGTTTTTCTGCCGTTTCCCCCGCTTTGGCGGGCCCAGGATCCACCGGGACGATTTGGACAAAGCTTTGGCGCATTGTGGTGTCTTGGCATCCGACGCACAGGAAGAGAAGATGCGAAATGACCATGATGATCATGATGGAAGGTGGGGGTCACTGATTTTCTCACAGCCGCCTGGAATTCGCAGAAGTTGAGGTTCTTGAATGAAAACATGTGCAAAGCCATGCAAAGCCACAAGCATGGCCAGGTTTCGGAAGGGATGGGCCTTCAAAACCCAAGAACATCAATGAACCGATGTGCCACATGAGGGTGGAAGAATCCGTGGTGAAATCACGGCCCCAAGGCGGTCAAAACATATGCCACACGTGCATCAGTTTTGGCTAGCAGCTAGCAGTAGCTAGCAGTAGCCAGGGGGCCCAGGATCCATCCCCAGCCGCTTCTCCTTTTGCGCCTAGTGCATCAGTTTTTATTTTGGAGGCTTTCCTGAGCTTGATCTTCCCGGCTGTCCCACAGCTGGGCCCCGGGCCGCTCCAGTCCAGTGATGGCAGGTGTTTGGGCCCCGGATCCTAGAGGGCAGCCATGCCTGAAGGGGAGAGACGAGTCTCAGACTGGGCCCTTCATTCATGGCGTCAAAGCGATCAGTTGGGTCTGTCCACCTGTGACAGTCGTTGAACGATCACTATATTGCGGAACAAGGTCTTTACTGAGCCTTTTACTACTAGGCATCATCCAATGTATATAACTGGTAATGGGATCGGGATGGACCCAAGCCATCAGAATGGTGGAGAAGGAAGGAGGGTTAAAGAACTGGCTGGACAGACACCAAGAAAGCCACTGAATCCAAGACAATCCAAGCACTCAAGACTCATGAACATCGATGCCATGGATTCTGAAATGGGCCCGGCTTTCGATGGTCCAACGCGATGGAGTCGCCGATTGGATGATAAGTCTGCAAATCTAACAGATTAGACACTGGCAGAACAGCCCTGGTAAGAATCACTTTCCACACCCTGAATCTGCCAGTGTTCACCTTCGATCTGCCGGCAGTTCATCTGCCGAGCTGAGTCGGAAGGTGGGTGCTTCGCCCTGAGGCTTTGATGATCGCCGGGGCACGTTGATCATGGAAGCGTTGGAGTCGGTCACGCTTTATGCCGCCCTGAGCCGATGCTTGGTTGATGGGAGGGACCGGCAGGCTCCAGCCGCACAGGCAAATGGAAGACCTGATGGGTACCTTGAGAACTGTGATGGGCACGCTTGGGAAACCATCTGCGACCATCGCGCAAACTTCTACTCCCCTGCAGATTAACATGGAACCTCAAAACGACTAAGGGTTGTTCTTCAGAAAATGGATGAACATGGTCATCCACAATTCTCAGGTTCCATGTGACTTTGCGGGGGGCCGGTTCTTTCGCCTACTCCAGAAGTCACCCAGTCAGGACCTCACCGTAACTTCTAACTCCCCACGCCGATCAATGGCCTTATATGGCCTTCCTCGACCATCCGGGTCTGGCGAGCGGCTCTGGTCCAAGAGAACAGAGATGTCTTTGGTTGGAATCAGCTGGGTCCACAGATGAGTTGCCGGGCGTTTGTGGCCGGCTTGGTGCCCTGATGGTTCCTCGAACGGTTCTCTCGAAGGTCGGATGTGACTTTCTACAAACCTCTCGAGTTGCTCACTGCGTCAACATGAATCCGATTGATTCGGTGCTCCGATGTGCCTGCCTCCTCGGCTGGGCTCGACGGCCGCGAGACGCTCCGCGCGGGACGTCCTGGAAGCGCAGCCGATGACGGTGACCAAGACGCTCTCGGTGGTCTCGACGACGTCAAAGGTGTCTTCGGCCATCGAAGAGGAGAAGCTTGGGCTGAGGTGATGAAGGGTGTCCCGTGATTTCGGAGTCTAAACATCTGACTAAGAAAGGGGTGGCAGCAGAAACAGCAACTCCTTTTTGATAATTTTTTTGAGTTGGGGGTTTTGGGTGGAAGCCGTTGTTGCAGGGTTCTTAGCAGTCAACCCTTTCCATATGCAACCCTGCCCTCTCGAACGAAGTGGAGAAACAAAATCATGCCTTTGACCCTCCAGCTTATGCGGTGGAACGAGGTTCAGTGACCAGACAGGGGTGAACCTCATTTGAACTTGCTGATTTTGGACGCTACGGGGAAAATCCAGTGCTCCATGCCAATTCACCCAGATGGGCAACATCATCCTTTTTCAGCCAAACCTGGTTCATCACTCTCAGGTACACAGTTGTCAAAAAGCTGGGCTCTGGGAAGTTTGGGCAAGTGCTTTGGCCAACTCATGAGTTGCTTCCTGCGCTGTGCGGCAGGGAGAGCTGGTTAGCAGGCTTGGGGCCCACCCCGAAAGATTTGTTTGGAGAGGGTGCTACTTTAATTGAGGTTTTGTGAGGACCTGTGCTGGGACCCCTGGCTTTCCACCTCCAGTCCAGCAGACATCTCCTTGCACCAGTGAGATGCCTGACACCCCAGATGCACAATAGCGACACAACGGCAGCAAATGTGGGGAAGCCTTTCGGTGCCTAGTCGTGTTGTGGGATGCAATGTGGACCATCAGAGGGGGATGGATTCACACTCTGACATTGTTTTGCTGTTACTCTATTCCCAGGTCGAAACATGTGAGGGAACGGAAATTTGAACAATTCACGAAAGGTAGCTTGAGCTACCTGAGTTCTCCTTGCTTTAGCAAAAATGTATTACAATCAGGAGTTGGGATTGTGCATTGAATTTGGTCCTGTAAGAGTTGATTCTGTTCGTCGGGGGGGGGGCCCCCCCCCGGATCAAATCCCCCCTGCGCCGGTTCACGCCGTCGTGGACTTCTACCAGGGTTACTTGTGATTGCCTGCTACCTTTCGTTCACCCCCTCCTCTCTCAAGTGTTTGGTGCAAGTCTGCAGCTCCTATGCATTAGCCGCTTTACTGAATGCCTAGCAGACCCGGCAGACCGCCTATGCATTAGCCGCTTTACTGAATACCTAGCAGACCGCCTATGCATCAGCCGCTTTACTGAATACCTAGCAGACCTAGCAGACACGGAACGGCGGTTTAAACAGTTACTAAAAATGCAGGTACGTTTACACGGGTGGCCCCCTGCTTCTTTTTCTTTTTCTGCATCCCTGTCCCTGCCTCTTTGTTCTTAATTAGTAGCGAGGCCAGAAACCATTAGTAGCATCCTTTCTTCAAGTAAAAACCTGCTGCATGCATACTTACCGGGCACGAACCTTGGAAACAGGTGTTGACACACACACATTATGCCGCAGTCGGCGCTCTGCACCCCCTGCGTTAAACAATTTTGTTCAGCAGCTTTGTACACACAATGCCGATAGCGGCGTGCCGGAAGATTACTAGTCACCTAAAAAGCCTTAGAAAGACAGACAAAGAAAAACAGAAAGAGAGAACGAAGAGGGCAAGAGAGAAAGATAGGAGTAGTTACGAGGCCGACTAGTTACGAAGCCTGTTAGTTACAATACATGCAGTAGCTAGCGAGTGGGACTTTTGTCTTATACCACCCGGGTAGCTAGAAGTAGGACAGGAGAAATAGAAGGAAAGGCACCAACAGTGCGATTTCCTTCTATAACCCTAAATAGCGGGTGGGATAGCAACAGAGGCCAGGGGCAGGGAGGGGAGCCCGAAGGCATTGCCATCACTGACATTCAAGTAAAGCCGATTTGGGGCCGGTGCACCCTTGTCGGAAAGGCACCTGGAACCTACAGAAAGGCCTCAAGAAACGAAAAGCAACAGAAAGACAGAAAGAACCCAAGAGCATGACAAGCGCATGCAACAGGAAAAGCTACCTAGCTGCTAGCCTGGTGACCCTGCGGCATGTACCTCAAACACCGCATGGGTGAAAGTCATGGAAGTTGGACAATAGCTTCACTGGTCCCAAAAATGGTCTTAAAATTGAACTTGAAACTGAACTCTGGCAGCGAAAGGAAAGTGACAAAATGCAAAAGGCAACATCACTCAAATGAAAGTATTGGTGGAGAAGTCGTGGGCCCGACGGCATTGGGTTTCGGGAATCCAGAGGTGAAACAAATTTGGTTAAGAGAATCCAGGGAATGCAGAACGCGGTGAAATCCGTTAGTGGCACTCCAGCATGAAGCGGCGCTCCCTTGCGGGAGGTCACACCCAGCACCCAAGTGGTACGACTGAGCGGTTCACACTCTGACATTGGTTTGCTGTTACTCTATTCCGAGGTCGAAAAAAGGTGAGGGAACGGAAAGGTGGAAGGTCAGAAGACTTGAAGGTGTTTGAACAACTGTTTGGTGCAAGTCTGCAGCTCCTATGCATTAGCCGCTTTGCTGAATGCCTAGCAGACCGCCTATGCATTGGCCGCTTTACTGAATACCTAGCAGACCGCCTATGCATTAGCCGCTTTACTGAATACCTAGCAGACACGGAACGGCGGTATAAACAGTTATTAAAAATGCAGGTACGTTTACACGGGTCCCAGAGGAGGTCTTCGTTGGCCACCGCTCCTCTGGGACCCCGGTGGCCCCCTGCTTCTTTTTCTTTTTCTTTTTCTGCATCCCTGTCCCTGCCTCTTTGTTCTTAATTAGTAGCGATGCCCTTGGTTCTAGCGGCTTCTTGTTCCCAGTAGCGAGGCCAGAAACCATAAGTAGCATCCTTTCTTCAAGTAAAAACCTGCTGCATGCATACTTACCGGGCACGAACCTTGGAAACAGGTGTTGACACACACACACACATATATATATATACACTTGTACACAATAATGCCATGGTGTTTACATGAAACAAGTTATAGTAGAATCAGTAGAAGTACTTACAGCCGTTTTGGAGTAGATGGCACAACCCCCTAATAACCCCTAATACGTGTTTTGAATGGGAGTCCACAACCCGGCCTGAAATCATCCGTTCGCCGTGATGATCGAAGTAGGAAGACATCTCAACAAGGTTTGAGATTGGGTATTGGAGGCCACAATAAAGGTGATGACCTGATGACGAATGATGCTGGGATTCTGTGTGAACCATGGAACTTTGAACCACGAGAACCATGAGAGCTCGCATCTGAGAAGGACAAAACTGTAAACAATATACATCAATATATATATATTATATATACCCATTCTGTTTCCTGGAGGCAGATTGGCTTGATTAATAGGGCGAGGTTTCTGCGAAGAACCATTCTTAGGGAGATGCCAATGTCAAACAGTACCCCAACGACCGGCCCTGGCTTCGGAGTCCGCATTTCCTGCGGGGCGGCGAGGTGCAGGAAATTAAGCAAAAGACCGGCGCCAAGAAGCGGTTCGCCTGGAAGCAAACGTCCTCCGACACTTGGTATGTGTAAATAGGAGGAGGGTTGACGGTTGGCGAAGAGATGCGCCGAAGAGTTGAGGGCGATCGTGTCCCTTTCAAGAGCAGCTGTGGGATGTTGTGGTGCTTGGACTTCCTGGGGGGCAGGATCAAGCAGGGCTCAAGCGACTTGGGTCATGGGGCTCACAGCAACCTGAAGAATTACACTTGGCCATGCTTCATCCACCCCTCAGGGTTGCTGTAGGCTTGGTGTGGATTATGAGGAAAGCAATGCTCAAGGGGACTTTTGCAATTTTTTAAAACTATGTCACTGTCTATGTCACTACGTGATTCTCACACACACTAACATGGACGTGGATGGGACGTCCCCTCAATTTCAAGAGGACTTCGTCGTGCTTCTTGGGGCCATGCAAGGCCATGCCATCTGCTTAAAGTGGGTGAGTCTAGCGTGTATTGTTTTGGTTTTGCGCCACTCGCCTCGTGACAGGCTTGTGATCCACACCCTTTACTTTCGGGATTTCAGAAGGTCTGGGTGATGTCTTCCTTGCCACGCCAAGGAGAAGGATCCTTATTGTGACCTGAGATGCTTCCAGTTGGAGTCGTTTTGCTTTTGTTTTTTTTGCTCAACCTTCCTCTTAGGACCTCTACTGAACCTCACGAAGTCCTCACAAACATGGCATCACATCGCACGATTCAGCTCCGAGCGGCCGTCGCCAGGTGAACAAGAGGCCCTATTGCTCAAGGAGTTGCAGCACGAAGGCATTGTGCAGCTCATGGAGGCTTATTCCGAGGGTGGGGTGGTGGACATGGCCACTTGGTAGCAAGAAGCTAGTAGGTTGGAGGCCATTGCTACTAGTAGAAAGAAGCTACTTGTGCACCGA